AAGGGAAAAAAGTCTGTGCTAACTGGAATCTGACCTATATGGAAAGATTTATGTTCACTCTTTTTATGTTTATTTTTTAGAAATTGGTTTTGACTCCCATCACCTTTTTAGTCTTATCATAGTACAACAAAATTCTGATAATCAAAACAGCTAATGCAATCAATATTTTGAGAAGTTCTGTTTATTGTGTGACATGATCCCTACCAACTCATAATGTCTCTAATCATAGGGCCACCTCCTTGCAAAAAAGGCTTTGGATAGAAGGGAGACTTCCTGCATACTCAACATGAACAACATGTAAGGTTGATCCATGGGGTAACATTTCAGCTTCAAAGGCAAACTGATCACATGCGGCGATTTGATCACTAATAAAAAAAATTAACACAAAAAAGGTTCTTGCAGGACCAAAAAGCCAAAGTGGGAAAAAATACGAAGGAAAATGAATAAACACCACAGACTTTTGAAGCCAGTGCTCATACCACAGCGAGCCAGCCCAGAGCCTGTTCCTGTTAACAAAGAGCTCTGTCCAATTAAGACATTGGAACCTCAGCTGCTGCCTTCACATCTTTCCGTTCAAAGCTGCACATTCAACAGAATTTCTGCCACAGCAGCAGAGGTACGTGTCAAGGCCATCTAGTCATTTATCAAATTGGAAAGTACTGAGCCAGTGGCCAAGCACCCTGCGTTTTTGAAACAGAATAAGTAAGCAGGCTGTCAATCGACAGAACCAGGACACGTCAAGGGGCAGTCCATCCTGGGAGACTTCAACACACAAAGAAGGTTACCCTCCGCTGGAAAACAGCTTTCATTTCCTCCAGTACGACAGACTGTTAATTGCTCTGTGTTCATTATCCTTCTGGAAGTCACGGGGAGGGAAAGCAACAATTTCTGTGTCCCAAGTACAAAGTACGCTTCCGCATACTGTAGGTGAAACTGCTTCCCTTATTTTAAAAGGACTTTTGGTTTTAGAGGTATAAATCTAAAGGTATAAAGGCTAAAGAAATAATAAAGTCACTACACTGCTTTCTGTGAAACAGGAAGAAGTAATAGCTGTTAAATCGCCATTTTTGATGGCTGTTAAAAAGGATTTAAGCACCATGAAATATAAAAAAGGCGTCTGAGTTCAACCCTCTTTGTTGAGCTAACAGCATTAAGTGTAGGGACCACCAAAGCTACAGGCCTTTCCCTTTTAAGTCTTCCTTGAAGAACTTACCTCCAGACATCGATCCTGCCACCTACGAGCCAGCATTTCCAAGAGAGGAGGTCTGAACTTGTCCAACCCCAGCAAATCAGGTAGCATGACACAGTGCATGGCAGCAAGCTGACTCCATCCTGTCAGGGTTCAGAAAACAGGCAACAGGAATAAGTCAGCTGTTCTTTGGAGCTCTGTCCTCATCCACACAAACACAAAACCACACAGCTTAACCCCAACGGCAAAGTAGCACAATGACAACAGGAGAAACAGAAGAATTACACAAACAAAATATTTTTTTAGCTGAAAACTGCAGGAAGAGCCCTGTTCTTATATCAATCATTCGTATTCTATCATTAAGGGGAATTTAACAGAGAATTTTGACATTTACCTTACTCATTTGGGTCAGACTGTTAGCTTCTCTCACTGCTGTTTAAAGCTTTTAATTAGTTTTTGATCAGACTGAAACGAACTCAAAAGTCATCTGCTCTCCAGCTTCCTTCTTTCAACAAGCCGGTGAGACATAGCCACTGAGTTTAATGGCAGAATCGTCCAGTTTCCAAGGGGCAAGGGAAGAAAGTAAAATTTTAAAGGAGCTTTTTTTTTTGTTAAAAACTAAAATGTTCAACCTGTGACCTAAAACATAAAGAATTATCTCTGATACAAATGAATATCAAATCATGCATGAAACTATTGATGTCATGGGAAATGCACATTTTAGCTCATATAAACATGCAAATTATTGAAACATTAAAAAACATTTTAAATACAGAAAAACACTGCTGCAACTTTTTTTCATGCAATTTAAGGAATTCCGTTACAAATTACTGTACCTCTACTGAAATCCCTTTCTATCACCTAGCTATAATTATACACCGATAGACGTTTTTCATCTAGAGTTATTTAGGACACTTACCTCTACAAAGAAATTTGAGAGAAATGAATTGAATGAAAATAAGGAAATAAATTAATGAAATCTGTAACTTGTGTCTGTACCTCTACTACTGTGCTACAGCTATTGCGCTACGGACTACTGTACTACTACTGCTATGCATTTAATTGAGCAAATAAAACATTAGCATTAATAACATTATAAATTATACAGTAGAATTTCTACAATACTGAGATTATTTCTGCTACTTATTCAATATTTAACTGCACTGTTTCTGCAAGTAAATCAATTTCCCAGGATTCCAGTTTGCTAAAATGAGTAACAAACACTTGCACAATGTTTATAATTAATTATAATAGTACATCCACATGAATATATTAATGTTTTCAAATGTGTATTCCAAAAGGATGAATATTAATGTGCTCAACAAAATAGTCATATTTAGCATAGAAATCAATTTCAATTCTTGAAGCGTTAATTTGGAAAAATATTCTAATATTTATGCTTTACTCCAGAGATGCAAAATGTTACTGCCATTAATGTTAAAGCTACTGCTATTTGTCAAAACAAACTGTGAAACAATTGTTATAGGGTTGGGCACTGAAAAAATCTTTAAATGGTCATATTATGAACAAAGCAAACGTGCTAAGAAACATGGAATACTGTACTCTTTTTTCACATCAGCAACTTCATTTTAGCTTACATTTATGCAAAAAATCAATTAAACTAGCAGATCGTCCTTAAAATAAACCTCAGCCCACATCTCCAATACACGAGGCCCTATATTTTAAAGCAGACATGAAATTCTGTGATCCACGTGCTTCATTCGTGATTCACTCGAGTGGGCTTTACTACATCTTTCAAATAAATCAAAACAAATAGAGTTTTCACTGCATGAAGCAGTAACCATTTACCGAGTGGATATCCAGGGCGACTGGAAAAATTAACACAGAGGGAACAGAAGAAAAACACTTTCCACACCTGATTTGAAGATTTTAACAAATTTTGGCATGCTTCAGTCTGAGACTTCTCCGGGCCCTAAGTTTAGGCCACAGGGCTTTCTTGAGAGGTTCAGATTATAAAAACAGTGTTTCTCCATTTCATTACTACAAGGAACAGGCTGCCTTTGTAGGCAGAGAAAAAAAATCAGTTGAAATACCTTTAGACTTTACCCTATAAGAAAACCCAACAATGGGCAACAGGGAGGAAAAAAAAAGAAACAAGTGCTCAAGTTAATGTCTTGAAATCATGGCAAGACAGTCGAAAAAGAAAAAAAAAACAATTACAGACCAAGCCAAGGTCTGGGCAGTTTTTTGGTTGAAGAAACTGTCTGAAGGCAGAGTGTTGAGACAGATACCACCCCACCCTGCCCCGCCCCGCCGCCGCCACGCGTGAAACAAAGCAAATGTGCAGTGTGTACTTAAATAGAATCGTGAAAAAGACACACCAAACTTGCGAGAGAGAGAGAGACGTGGACGACACAAAGACTCAACAAGGACTCCAGGGTGGACGCATGGCAAATGAGAGCAGAGGTAGTGGGGTAGTGATGAGGCAACAGGGCAAGTACCTTCATTGACTGAGGGACAGGCATGTAAAGCAGGGCCAGAGTGAATAGCCGCAGAACCAGCAGCAGCAGACGCAGCCACAGCAGGAACTTGCAGAGGAAAGGAAAGATAGAGAAAATGAACTCCAGGAGACTCAAGAGAAGAGGGAGAAACAGCGTTAGTAAGGATGAGGGAACAAAAAAAGAAAAGAAAAAAACAACCGGACAGTCACAGCTGAGAAAAAAAGGTTCCAACTCTGCAGTGACTCGGAATTGTAATCTTAACTTTATTCATTATCGGCAATTGGAAATATCGTGTTACTGGGGTAAATGTTTTGCCGTGCTAAAAGTGGAAATGGACTCAGAGTCAGAAGGAGAGACACCTGTTAATTCAACTTTCTAAGCCCTCAACTTTGTATTTCTTGCTTGACAAAGGAATCTTGCACCTACCCAAATGGAAACTTACCGCCCAATGAGTACCTACTGGTAACGTGCACCTGGTGGGTTGCTTTAAGTTATTCTGGATTCAGGTTTGGACAAAACCACTTTATAGATCTACACAGAATTTTGTCAAAGTAAGAGCTTTGCAATACTAATTTTCATGCATTTCAGTGAGAGGTATAATACATGAAAGCCCTAAATTTAACTTAAATTGTATATGAGTAACTGTTCCTGTCAATAAATCTGAAAATTAGCTTTTCAGAATATGCATCTCATAAATTACTCAATTGACAACCCAATCTGTGCTCAGAGTAGTTTAAGAAATAGCCAATATTTGGAACCCTTTTGCTCAGCCTTGCAGACAAATTGGAGCATTATATGCCTGCGTCTTCCAAATAAGTTTTAGAATGCAATGAGAAATGCCAAATCAGATTTTTTTAATCAAAGAAAGAAAAAAAGCTTTTATAAACACGTATTTTATTCAATATCATCATTCTTCTGGCAATGGCATGTACAAAGAACATGAGCAGACGGTGGTTTTAAAAGAAAATTAAATTAGAAAGTCATTCTAAAACACCGTCTTGTGAAGGAGATGATGGAAATAGTTTGCATATTTCAGCCGGCATGTATCATCTTTACAGTCTTTAGTGAGGCGTCTTTAACATACTGTAGCCTACACGAGAAAACCAGGGGTGGGAATTGGTGAGGTACACATTGCCTGGCATGGGGCTGGTGCTTTACCATCTTTCCCATTTCCCATTTCCAGGCTAGAAAGGGACAAACTTCATTTTATGTCCATCTCCATCTACCAAATCCAGAAAAGTTAGAAGATGAAGAGAAAAGAGAGTTTGGTGCTCCCAACTATGGTAAAAGCAGGTGTCAGTTCTGAGGGAATTGCATGGATGAGCTGCACGTCCTGAAAGAGGCTCTCAGGTCACTGAGAGGTTGCAGATCACATGACACCTGACCGCTGGACCCCTGACTGAACACCGCCCAGTTTGCCTCTTGAAGGGCAAATTGATTGAAAATGACTTTCGAATATTGTGTACACTAAGCTGCAGCACACCATCCTAAACCACAATCATTTTCTATAGTGTGACAATAAAAAAAAACTTTTGGCTCTAAAATGTATCCTAAAATGTTTCAAAAAGCTTGCCTCCTCACCCACTACACCCACCTCAACTGCTACCCCCAAGCTACAGTATGAGCTGCATCCTTTCACAACTAAATTAACAACCACAGAAGTAACAATATAATAACAGCCTTCCCCTTGGTCATCATTAAGATGTCTCAGCCCCCCTGAAAGACGGATGGGGTTCTCGCATGCAGGTATCAGACGGGCGCACGGCACACCAAAGACACACCAAACGCCTCGTGCCTGGCTCACAGCACCCCACTACCTAGAGATCACAGGTCACAGCACAGGAATAAAATAGGCCAGATGCAGTCCTGTGGTGTCCTGACTATAGGACACAGCCTGTACTTCACACAAGGGCCCTTAGAAGAAATCCCAAACTACTTGGCTCTTTAATCTTCGTTCCGATTTTCCTCCGTTTTTATGTCATTCCGGAACCCGATGAAATTGAGGATTTAATCTCTTCTTTCCATTTAGCGCAACCCTTTAAAGACTTATGCAAGGTGTACTGGACTCCAAGGAAATTCTGTGGCTTGCTTCCTAGCAAAAGCGACAGGCAAGACAGATAAACGTTTTCCCACAAGAATGGGCACCGCCTTGAGGTTCTCCAAAGAACAAAATGAAAATGTAGATTTGGCAAAAACAAATAGACCCCACCTGAACACTTAAAGGTTTGCTTTTATAGCTTTTCACAAGATCTTTCCCATTTAAATCCCATGTCAAGCGTACTTTCTCTACAGAGAACCCAAAATGAAGTGTAATAATTCTTATGGGTGATTGTGAATATTCTTTATTTTGTAACCATGTCCTTAGTTTTTCTGGTTAAAAAATGCATGTCAATCTAATAGCCCTTCTGATATTTTTAATTAAGAAAAAATAGTGACTTATTACTTTAACAAATAACTGAGTGATGGCATGATCCACAGTCTGCCTTTGATGGTTTATTATTTGTTCTAAAGATAGGCTGCAATTTCACTGGCTCCTATGAACAGATATACAGAAGGTGCACATAGTGTACAATGTCAAAAGTACATGGAAGAGTACTTCACACAACAAAGCTATTTCAAATTTATCACAACGGGACCTTGTTACAAACCTGCATTAAAGCCATGCAAACAGACAACACTGGAATCACTAGAAAAGAGACGGGCTCAACATATGTCACAAAAGAAAGCGAAAGCAGAAGACAAGCATGTGTGCGCCTTATTTTAACAAATAAAGATCAAAGTAATTAAAATTACTTTTGATAAGTGGTACCACAACCTGTAGCACACCATTCTAATCCACAATCCAAAAATTTTTTTCTGTACCAATAAAGAATTTAAAAAAATCAAAAACAGCTGAGCAGTTAGCTCTGAAATATATCCTAAAAGGTTTCAAACTTGCCTCCTCATCTACCACACCCACCTCAATTGCTATCCCCAAGATATGTGCTGTATCCAGTCACATTTCTGGGATTCTTTTAGCCCCGGTCTCTTAATCTAACCTCCCAATCTAGCTACATGAGCTGTACATCTGAAATCCCCATTAACAAAAAAACAGCTACTTAAAATCAAGATCAAGTGATCTTAAGACTAATAATTCAACTAAATAATGTAATTATTTAATTAAACTATGGGCGTGGAATACAATACAATCATAACCCTTCCATTTAAATTTACCTAGTTTAAAGCTTATAAAGCAAAGACATGTTGAGCATTTAAGTACTGAATTTCAAAGATGTGAAAGGGAGTTAAGTTTCTGGGAACACTTCTGGCAATCCTGAGAAAAAGTCAGTCTAAAACACTTACATATAAAACAGAAATCTCTGAAGAAAATACAACCTTCTACTGAAAACACTTCTTATGAAATTATCAACCAATGACAATTATCACAGCTCCATGACTACTCAAAACACTCTGTCACCCAACTTTGTTTGTTCTGTCATCTAATCTATCCATTTCAGTCATAACTATCTCCCAAGGCATGCAGTATTTATAACAGCAGCACTCAGTTGTTTCCTTCAATAATGAAGCTTATCCAATACTACTTCAATGCGGATTTGATTAAGGGACTGTGGAGACAAATCCATCAGCTCTTGTTCTTCCCTTTGATTTAATTAAATCATTATAAACATTATAAAATAATGTTCATTCATTTAAATGGTTTTGTGTTCAAGGTTGAACGTTTTCGCCCTGTTTTTAGGGCTCAGACTTCACTCACAGATCACCTTCCTATGGGCTGCTCATGAAACTGAAACAAAAGTAATAATACATTTAATTTCTTTTTGAACGGAGAAGACCCGATTCAAGTATTCGAAATCCTTGGGGGGCACTGACAGTCAACCAAGGCAGTTTTCCTCAGAATGAAAAGTCAAACACAAAATCGAGGGCACAAGTAGAAACTATGTGGAAGCTGTATTTAATACTGGACAGGAGGCAACAATTTTTACCCAAAGAGGTGTGGGAGTGTGGAACAAGCTGCCCAGCCAAGATCATGGTTTCTTTCAAAAAACACCTGGATGCAATGCTTGGGATCAATTAACCACCAAACAGGCCAGATGACCAAATGCCCGCTTCTCGTTCGTGACCTTTCTCATGCTCTTGACTTGTTTCTCTCTTTTACATCTCCCACTTGTGAACAAACATTAAGGGCCTTAACCTTCACGTCTACATCTCAAGGCTTTACCATACTGTATTTACCGCCCACATATACTGTACCATATTTCTCTGCACTCAATGCTGTCTCTTATCTTTTGAAGAATGCATACATCGCTCTTAAGAGTCTTCTCCGTGACACATTTAGTAACTCCACATTGGAGCTCGCTACATTAGAGGAATCCAAAACTCCAAGTTGCAAAACATATTATCAGATATGATCTCACAAATAATCATTTTCCAATTTTTTTTTCTTATCTGTATCTGCATCTCTGTGGTCAATAATCCCTTAAGCAAGACAACCGACTCCTCTATCTTTTGATGTCCCACACAGAATAAACTTATTATATGATTTCCTACCCAAAAGCCATGGCGAATCACCTGCTTCATGTTATTTATGCACACAGTTTTGCTGGGTTAATTTACTGTGCTCCTGCTGTTAGTTTTCTGTCTTTTTACTTCTCTTATGTGCACGTGCATTCAATTTTTGGAAAAGCACTTCAAAAAATGGGTAGTATGACTGCTCTTGCTATTACGATCGTTATTACAGACCACAGTGCTCCTTGAGAGGAGAGTGCATACCGGTCGCCACGCGGGCTCCGTTTTTATTGCGGGCAGAGGCAGCACAGGCAGAGAGCGCCTTAACATCCTCGCGGAAAGTTCTTACATGGCCGACGTGTGCGCGGGGGTAAAAAAATTAGCATATGAAAAAACAGAAAGCCCTTATGGCAACAGTGCCTCAACAATTGAAGGTTAACACCAAGATTTAGAGGTCACAACATGACACCTCCTTTCTATAGAAAACATAACCATATGCTGTGCATAAGCGGACACAAATTAATCCCTGTGCTTTACTCTATTATGGAGTCACAATGGGTTCAAGCTCCTGTACAGATTTGGCAGTGTGGTGGAAATGGTCTGTTTGCTTAACTTGTGGCAGAATCTCTTTTGTCCTCGCAGGATATCTGCATGACAACTAGCCTTTAATTTCCATTCCACACACCCCCTGAACAGCTGAGTGTGAGCCCTCAGGCACAGCAGCCTTGTAAGAACTCTAAAACCCTGTGAAAGGCCAGCGTTCTACATGTTGCGGTATTTTATAAACAGACAGCCAATTCAAGCCCCTTAAGATTTGCAGCAAAATCCATCATATTTAATTCTGACTGCGTAATTATTCTCCCTGCAATATTAAATGATTAATCAGTCTGCAGTGCAATTATATAGGATTTTACTGGACATAACTTCTACTTTGATGTTTTTTTTTTAATCTTGAAACAAACAATATTTCTGAGAAAATCCTCACATTATAAATTTCATTGTACTGCTTAAGTTTTACTTTATCTTAGTTGTACAATGTTTAATGCTAAATATTAACATGGGGATTTAATAGTGTATTAATTCTCTGCATGTTGCATGTTACTTTAGCTCGCTAAGTAAGGTGAAAGGAAAGTAAAAGTAAAGTAAAAAGTGTGAAAGTCTGAGTTTACCTTAACAAAAGGTAATATGCAGTAATAAAACACCAGGTTGATGCACTTCAATTTCTTTAACTTTTTAAATAAAATGGTTGCTTCAGGTAAGAGTCAGAGGCAAAGTCTTAACATTTTAAACCAGATGGTTTAAAATCAGCCATTACTTTCAAAAACAATTGCATTTGATGAAGGAGGGTTCAAGCTGTAAACACATCAATATAGTATACTTGCTCAGAGACACTGTTTCCTGGCTAATTGCACACAAAACTACGAGTCTTGTACCTTGCCCATACTTGTTATGAAGTACCCAGGCACCTTTCATACAGATGATTTCCCCCTGCGTGCTGCGCCTCATACTGTACGTTTCAAACATACTTAAATGCCACTGCTGCCATTTAAAAGTGCAACCCCTGCAACCCCTTAAAACATATTTATTCTTAAGAGAGCTCTCCACACAATTACACTCATCAGAATCCGAGTAACAAAGTCAATCTTTCAGTTTTGCAATAAAAGCTGTTTCAAGTGTGTGGTTCCACAATGAGATGCTCCCCCCCACTTAATGGGAGACAAGAACGAGACAGATCTCTAAAACCACTGCAGTTTCCCGATTATTTTCCTTTAGCACTGTCAAGGCCTACGAACTTTTACAGTGTTCCACAAAAATCACAGAGCTCAGAAAGGCAATGCACGGGCGCAGACTAAAACCGCCGCTAATTTATTTTCAACTTTGACTAAACATCATCATCTCGTGCAGGCCACACTGGTAGAGCTGATCCAAATAAGTTATGAAGGGATTTAATACCAAGACTCGATAGTGACATATGATATTAGACTGGCACATTAGGCCAGCTCACTCATGTTCGTGAGCTGGATATTACCAATAAAGCACCAAAAACTGTATGTGTAAATTAATCTGTTCCCAGAGGCCGAGAAGGTCTTCAACTACTAAATAGGTTGATTTTTTTTTTTCCTTCGGAGGAGAAAAGCAAAGAGCTAAAGGAGAAGAGGATTAGCAAAGCCTCAGAATACCTATATAACTGGTTATACCCTCACGTTGTTTTATATAGGGATAGTCAAGTAAAACTATACAAAGTCCCATGAAAAGAAAATCAACTAAATCAGTTTTTCCAGAATATGACAAGAAAACTTCAATCCATATGAATGATTAACATCAAAACTCATTCTCCAGATAAAGAATAATTTTCGGGGTTAAAAAAAAAACCTTTTGTGCTCCTTGGGTTCAAGGACTCTGATATTGACGGGCCAGGAGGGAAATTTCTCATTTTTATAACTTAAGCCTCCACCCCTGTCATTTTCCCTGCGTGCTGCTGAGAAAACTGTGCTTTGTAGTTACCTTGTTTGATCTGTCCTTGGACCACTGTGCTGGAAACCTGTGGGGACATCTTTTTAGAAGTCTCTGGGGTGCCTGGTTTAGGGGGCCTGAAAACAAAAAAAAGGATGAAATATTAATTTCTGCTATTTTTTTTCTCAAAAATTAGATCCACTCCAGCAGGCTGTGTGTGTTGTATTTGATAGTTATTGAAAATGTATTTCACCTTAGGATACCACTGTGATTAAAGTATCATTAAAAAAACCTCCCAATTTTGTTGGAATTTCATGAAAGCACATCTGTATGAAAGGCTGTAGGATCTAAGGAAAACATTTTATTAACGATATTGACAGATAAAATACACATCAATCTTTTCTCTTAAAGCTCAACAGACTGGCTCCACTTTAGACATTATAAAAAGTCAGACAGAACCATTGTATTGCTTGAGACTGAAGTGTAGCAGGAAGGACTTTTAATCTGCGTGATATTTTTCCTTTGTGAAAGAGTGCTCCTAAAATTGCTGGCAAGCCTGAATCGCATCCTTTACTAAAAACCATTTGTGGATTTCGGTCAATTTATATTCCACACTGAAAATCAGCAGGATGCAGCCACTGCATTAACGTGAGTTTCCTAGTCTCCTTCTAATTAAAGCACTGTCTGCCTTCCAACTTTGCAAGTCTCCTCGCTAATTTAATGGAATGTCTTCTACTGCTTTTGTGATAATGAAATGATATACTTGTGATATTTTCCCCCAATACACAATAAGGGTCTTAGTAATGCCTGTGATGTAGACCAAGCTCAGTTAGGAATGAGGATAAAGTCATCAAAAACTTCATTCGTTAAGAATGAAGAGCTGTAAAGGGTGGGGTTTTAAATCACTATAAAATAAGCTAAAAAAGTCACCTAGATTCAAGTGCTAATGTACTCATTCTGATGCATACAAATTATTTTAATTTTGTAAATCTTAAGCAGGCATAAAAGAGCGTGATTCAGCGTGCAAATGCCAAAGAGGCGTCTACCTAAATTTAATTAGCATAGACCCACTATTGTCTCAGGCAATCGAGTAGACCCCATCAACTCACCCACACAGACTCGGTCATAATAACCCTTCCTTCAGGTCAGCTTTATGAATTTACAGCTTAAGCTTTCTTTCGATCTACACTCAAAATAAAATCAGAGCTTAAACGGTAGGATTTTGGTGTTCAAAGCCAAAATGTGCTGAACTGTGACAGAATTCACTGCATAGGCACACAAAAAGCACTAGAAACTAATACCCTTTATCGGGAGGGCAGGCTGTAAACCTCAAGAATGCAATCGGCAATCAGAAAGAGAGAAAAGGGTTTTACCTCTCAGGAGGAGAGTATTTTCATTCGCAACAATAAACAGCCCTGAGAAGCCATTGAAGAAGCCGGTTCACCCATGGCACTGCATAGAAGGCTCTCTTTACATTGGCCGATTTTCTCTTTTTACTGTATTGCTTTCTCTCCTTCTCTGAATTTTATTTTGGCGTATTTTATGTTATCGTTTCCTCTTAATTATTTCTCATGGCAACTAATTATTACAGCAAACTAAATACATATGCTTCTAACACAACCCTTAAAGCTGACGTTGAGAGAGTGAGGTAAGGGTCTGTCAAGAAGTAGTAGTGGTGGTAATAATAATGATAAGCTCTTGCAGAAGCCTGTTTTGCTGGAACAGAATGAACATGGCAAAAGAAAACTATGGTGCAAAACAAAAGCAAATCTCTGCCTTTTTTTTCAGCCTTAATTTGTAAGTCAAACTCTGCTTCACTGTTGCCTTGCTTGGAAGAGTTTAGCTTCTAAAGATTGCATAGGCTTTGCTTAGGCTAAGAGCTAGACATTTACTACATTGTACTGTGGTCTGCATCTGTCGCTAAAGAGCCTAAAATAATTGTATTCTCTTTCATTCATGTTCTCTTACATTTTCCTCCCCAAATTCAATTGGTGAAGCAATTTCTCATTTCTCCACCAGATGTGTTGTGTACTGGGGCTGCTGGCAAAATTGCTGCCCTGCATCATGAAAGTGCCATTTAAATTCAAGGAATTATTTCTTATTACTACTGTAGAAACATCATTTGAAAAAAAGGTCACCTTTTTAAAAGACTGTAAGCACAAAAAATAATATTAAAAACATGACGACTGTACTATTGGTATTTGTCAATTAGAAAACAGTTCAGAATGAGGTAGTAAAGCATAATAAAAGCGTAATAGTTCTACAAGCCAATTTAACAGTCATTAAAGAATTTTTTTTTTTATTTAGAAAATCATGTCCTAATCTTACAAGTTTCAATCTTACAGCTGTCAAACGATCTGACAGTAAAAGTATCACTCTGTAAAGTGCTTTATGAACCCGAAGCTTTTATGGAAACTGTCCTAAACTAAATGGGATAAGAGCGAAGAAGAAACAGTGTTTCCATAATACATTAGAGTTAAACTCCAATTCATCACCACTGGGGAAATATATTCAGCAATTTGGCGTCTGAAGCTGAACCCTTTGGTACGAGTGGTTCCATTGTTTAAATCTGAATAAAGTGCTGTTCAGTAGAAGAGCAGTACAATACATCCTGGGCTAATTGATTTCATTTAGACACTTCCACTGTTCATCAACGACTACACTATAACAGAAACCTTTTCATTTAACACTACAAACGCCAGCGATGCTTTATTTGCAACACATTGTGTGAAGGTCCTCCCAGGGAGGAATAAGGAGACACAAAATTTAGGAAGATGACCAACTGAAGACAATGTACTGTAGATGGCATCAGATGCCAGGCCTCCTTTACACATTGACAGCTATCTGACCTTATGATGACAGGCACAGCATTCAATACAGAAAACACGACGATGTTAAAATGATGACACACTATCAGTGTGATCCGTGAACAGTGACTATGTTAATGCCTGCTTGTGTAAGGGCAATCTGTGTAATCTAAAAGTCTGGTGTACAGAACAACGTCCGATTTATTTACGTGAGTAATTTGCAGCTGCTGAATGTCTGACTAGTTTTTCCATTCTTCCCCAAAAAAAGTCTGCACACTTCTCATTGCTGAGACTACAATTATGTAATAATCTTTTATGCTGATATTAACCATCTCTACAGAATATTTAACAAACAGATGCAATGGTCTGCATTATTGCACTGCGAGTCTACCTGGAGCATTTAGTAAAATACCCCTCTTCGCTAAAAATGTCTTTTAAATGGTGAACTTCAAGGTACATTCACTTCCAAAATTCAAGATAAAAGACATTCCCAATATGAAGAGGAAAACATCTTTATTATTCGTCTATGTCACATCTGTGTTTGAGCCTCATGTGTGTTAATGGGCACTTCTGCATCTATACTGTAACAACCCAGAAACCAGGAACTTAAAAAATGAAGAAAAGGCAAAGAACCATGAAAAATTGAAAACTAAAACATTAAAAAATTTAGCACTAACTTGGGGCTGGTATCTTCATCCAGGATGTTTCTTTACCTATCTGTCCACGAAAGCTAGTGAAAAAGGCACACTTCAAAGGGAAATATAAACACACTCCATGAAATTGTCATCTCCAGATGTTTCGTGAACAGTGTGAAACTCTAAATCTTTCACCGCCAAATGGGGAAATGGAAGCTCTAACACTAAGCTGCGTACTCTGCAGTAATATCAAACAGAGGACAACAGCTCAATACTGGATAGCACTTCAGCCTGCACCTCCATCAATCTGTAATCACACAGCCTTGTTTCTGAGAACAAGAAAGTTCTAAGACCCTAGTAACTCTGATACAGGGTTTCTAGAGCATGTTTCCATAATTAATTGCCTGCTGTAGTAATGAAATAGAATAATGAAATAGTAATGTGAGATACAACGTCAAACTATACCTTTAAAAGCAAGCTTTAATTCATCGGTCTGCCCAGATTTTTCTAACATTCTGCTAACCAGTGGGGCACCGTGCCACAGAAGCTTGAATCCAACAGTAAGAAAAATTCAAGCATTGTTGTCCAGAGCTGTAGTTGAAATAAAAAGTTGCACTAGGAAGCATAGTGTCTGATCTAATTAACATTTCCAGAAGTGCAAAAGCTTCTATCATAAGCGCAGAACAGCATATAAAACAGCAGAACCTACAGAAAAGAGCATAGCTGAAATAATGTTATTCCTCTGGGAAAAGAAAAAATCTTCTTTTAAAAAAATACAATACTAAGAATCCACTCCATGGATCTTTTTGTCTGCAAGACGATAATTTAGTGGAGTGACACACCAGTAAACTGCAAACTCAAGAACAACCACGATTTCTCCTTACCCACTTATAAGTTAATACATTAGGCAATGTGATCTGGTAGTCCAAAGTCTGGTGTACAGAACAACGTCCAATTTATTTACATGAGTAATTTAGTATCCTAGTATCAAATCCATCAGCAGCAATCCAAACAGGTGCATGGATTAATCACTTTTACCACAAACACCATCATAGTACCCAAATGCTTCTTACAGGCTTGTCTGTTAGCCTCCCTAAAAGATTCAATTAATAGGTTTATTCCATGCTGAAAAAAAGAAGAAAGAAAACGCAACGTTTCGGCCGTGGAGCCTTCTTCATGTGACCAAAGGAGGCCCCACGGCCGAAACGTTGCGTTCTCTTTCTTCTTTTTTTCAGCATGGAATAAACCTACTACTTGTTCCTTTGCAGCCTACGCATGCTGACGCAGCTACCCACCTCCCTAAAAGATTGACTGTTAACTGCATACTGATATAGACAGACATCAGAAGGATGGAACAACTGTAAATATCATATTCTAGCACAAAATGAAACTCATTTCATTAAAAATCCCATTGAACCAACCACATGGTTAAAAACTCGGTTTAAAAATCTAAGTGACGTAATATTATAAGTGAACCCTTTTCGTTTTCCACCGTTGGAGCTCCCGAACCACCGTTCTTCTCAATTCAGTCTAGAGAGCTTTCCCCACAGAAGGTCACCCCTACGTACCTGGCGGGTGCTTTCTTCATGTGCTCCCCGACAAAGGTGGCGTTGGTCATGCTCATCAGGGTATTGGCCAAGGAAATGACGGAGAGAAGGTGTTGGGTGGTCACAGCCCGGGACACACCGTAGGTGCCCTTCCCCAGGATCTCGGACACCGACATCTTCCTGCTGACCGTGTCGGTGCCCCCCCTGCCTGACGCCACCCGTACCATGGAGTTCTTGAAGGTGGGGAGCATGAGGGACATGTGGCCGCCCCGGGACAGCAGGCCGAAGGAGACGGGGCAGTGAGGCTTGAGCATGCCCAGGCGGCTGAGGCACACCTCGTCCAGCACGCTGTTGAGCCCCCAAGCGTGGAGGCAGGACATGAAGAGCTTGGCAGTGTCCATGGTCAGGTTATACTCCAGCAGGCTGAGGGACTTGGACTTCGGGTCATCCCTGCGCTGGCGCCGGGCTTCCTCGTCCTCGTCGTCCTCGTCGTCCAGCAGGTGCTCCTTGATGTTCTCCTTGATGGTCTCCTTCACCTGCTTGAGCAGCACGGCTGCCCTCTTGCCGGCCAGGAAGGAGCCCCCCTTGTCCGAGCTGCCCTGGGCCTTCTGCAGGCTCTCGGGAGAGACCAGGGTGGGGTTGGGCCGCGCCGCCTCCTCCGTCAGCAGCTGGATGATGACGGCTTCCACGTCAAAGAAAAGCACGTGCATATCCGGATCCGTCAGGTTCGTCTTCATGGCTTGCACCATCAGGGAGTTGTGAGAGTACTTCGGCAAGTTGCCCTGGGAAAAAAAAGACACGGGAGACGTAAAACGCGGACAGCCAAGCGCCACCCCATCGAGATCATCTCAAAGGCAGCCCTAGCGTAGCAGGCACGTACTGAATTCGCTCTCTCCGTCAAGGAACTGACCCAACCTGCTCCCATTAAACCCACGGCGACCCAAGTAGTTCCAGGGTGACTGTCAGGAAATCAAGTCATCAAGTACAAAGACGCTGAAACTGAACATCTACGCCTTGTCGACGCAAACGGCAAACACGGCCGTTAATCAGGTAGAGGAAGAGATGTGGGGGGGGGGTGTAAGGGCCATACGACACTGCCTTATGCAGAGAGTGGCGGGGGGGGGGGGGAAGAACACGAAAAAAGAAACTGGTGTGTTCAATAGGCACACAGAGGTGCAAGAGCTGCTCAGAAAAAGTGTGCAGTAAGTGTGGTAATGATCTCGGATGAACTGCTGAGGGGCCTATGGCTGGCCCTGCCCCCGCCACTGCAGCAGGTAATGCTGGGGGATTCCCATGATGGGAGGGGCCCGTTCCAAAACCACAGGGAACAGTCTTCACCCAACTCACGAAGGAAAAGTGCAATGACAAGACATTCAAAAGCCAAGGAAATCACCCAGAATTCCTGTTAAATCAGTAACCCGTAGAAAGCTAGTTTATAGATGAATAAAAATTCTTATTACACAAAAAGACCCATCAAAGTTGACATCAGATATTACAATGAGAATGAATGAGAATTTGACAAATGCAGTTCACTTAACTATTAAAAGCTTGGTTCATGATGTGAAGCTCGCTCAAATTGTTCCACTGCAAAGTTTTCGTAAGGTACAGTGGGAAGAAATGCATTATAAGTTTGTAATCTGATTATCGACAAACTAATGCCCATTCAAAACAGCAGCCACTGTGAAACCTTTTTAACGGTGTATGATTCACGCAACTCGATCGGCTATCAAAAACTGATTATTTCCAACATTTTATTTGTTGGGGAACAAGCGTTAAGCTCTTGATAATCAGCCAAGAAGTGATCACAGTGGCCAAGCCCAATCCACAAAACCATCTCAGACACTGCATCTGGTCACTCCTTCAGCACCATTGAGCGCTCAATAAGAATCAGACCAACGTCTATTACTGACAATTAGTGCTTAGGAGGCTGGGACTGTCACACTGCTCAATGGTAGTTAAGCATTTTCAATGAATAGGAAGCATTTGCTTCAACAATCACTGACTGAACTAGAAAAAACACTGTTTTGCAAGAAAATGAGCACTCAAAAACCTTTGAAAAGATTCTAGTTCCAAGACATGGTTAATAAATATGGGCTTCAAATGACATAACATCAGAAAGTAAAATGCATCAAAACACATTTGCACATTATTGGCAAACAAACAGGTGTGTAGTATGGTTCTCACACGCACAGAACTAAGAAGTTTAACTTCTGGTGTACTTAGAATGTTTAACATGTGAATAAAAATTATGATTTGCCAAAAACATCACATTTTATTAATTATACAGAATTTAACACATATGTCTGTCCCTACATAAAACCTATAGTTTTCTCCTTTTGTAAAGTATTCGAATAAAAGATGCTGTAAATCAAATCTGGTAAAATTTCATCAACAATAAAGCTCGTTTCAGTCATTTTCTTATATTAATAACCGTGTCAATCCAACAATTTCATTCTGCACCATCCCAGATACGCCAGGTGACACCGCACAGTGATCTGACATTTCATTATGAGGAGACAAAACAGCTCTTCTGCTTCTTGATGCCTGCAGTCTGACCGTTTGAGAGCGGTCTCTGCATCCCCCTCCCCCCGGATGAAAAAAATCTACCTATGATAAATTAATGTTCTTTTTTTGAAAGGATTGAAAAGTAGCTGCCTCCTAGAATTTGTTTGTAGACCACCAATACTTCATTAAAAAAAGGGCAAAAGATGAAAAGCCACACAAATGCAGCAAAAAACAGGAGCGCACAGTTGTCTGAAACCAGTCCTTTTTCAAACCCTTTAGCACACCAGACATATCCAAATTTCCAGTGTCCATTTCAACACAGTGCTTATTAGGGACATTCTGTCAGAATTCAATATGTCTAGCCAATGTGGTGTGGTCTGAATGGCGTCACCTTATTTTGATTCTCTTCTGCAATTTATTAAGACTCGGGTGAAGAGAGTCCTCTGAGGCCTGGATCGGCTCATGGAGAAATGCTGCCCTCTCCAGTCTGGTTGCTGTCACGACAGGTGAACAAAGAAAAAAAAAATCCCAGACTGTTCTTTCACCAAACACTGCCACAGGGCTGCACAGGACCGCTGGTATTCTGCACCTCACCAACCAGGGAGGTGAAAGGAGACGATTCCTCAGTCAAGCCCAGAGGATCTCATTAATAAGCCCAGCAGCTTAATCCCCTCTCACAACGATACCCCCTTAACACGTCCTCATATCATGAAAACTCACTTGCCTTTTATGGTGCATTTTCTTGGGTTTTAATGCAGAACATGCATACAGAAGCACACACCTCAAAGTTCTTGTCTGTACATTTTTGCTAATTGTGTTTCAAAGCTGCATGGTTGAAATCGGTTTCAGGGTTTCACATAAGGTTTGAAACCTGAAATGAACCAGCTAATGGGTTTTAAGAACACCATATTAAAATTTTCTCAAAAATTACTTTCACACTGCATCTTCTCCCGTAATGCGGTGAAATAGCAGAGAATTCTGAAAAGCGATTATGATCTTGACATAAATGACAGAAAAGTGACATTTTAATGCAGTTGGGCAAATAAAACATCTCTGTCTCACTATACATCTTGAACTTGCAGAATATGTGGACCCAACTGCAAAAAGAAAATTAAGTAATATTGTTTTTGTAAATGCAACATTCTTTGAGTACCGCAGATGAACATCACTCCGTTCTGCACTATCAATACATTCCTGCGACTGGCTCTTCAAACTCCGTGTACGTCTCAACGAGACCATATTTTATGTCGAACACTTACACACCTGTCTACTTTGTGGTTTCACCATTTTGAAAAATCTTAGAGCCTGAAAACTGGCGTCAAGCCGAAAAGAATCCTTGTCTCTGCCCCTAGAAATGAATCTGAAAGAAAAGTACTTTCCTTCTTGCTGTGGCCCTGCGAGACAGGGGAAAAGGAATATGTACAGAATTCTCCCTGACCAGACACAAAATACTTCTCTCTGATTTCTGTTCAATTGAAACACAAAACTGGGATCTTGGCTTGACATTAGGAAAAAGTCATGGAGGCACAGAGTAGTGGCAGAATTTGGGAGTTCTGCAATTCTGGAGGAAACAGTGGTGTCAAAAGCATTTTATTTCGGATTAGATTTTGGAAGGTGCTGGAGACAGAAATCCAGATCTTTCTCTGTAAAGATGCAGGCTGAGGGAAGAAGGATCTAAGCAGCAACAGCAGGTGGGCCAGAGAGGCAGGGGAGAGTAGCCAAAAGCCCTCTTAAGGGGAAAGCTCGCTCATTACAGAGAGCATCCCAGAGCACTTGCTCTCACTCCCACTACCCCTGAGGGTGCTCAATTCATTGCCTTCAGACAAAACAGGTAAAGCTCCTTCAGACAAAGATTAAACCAAAAAAAATAAATCTATACAAAGTCAGCATCGTACAATCTACTTACCATGATTAGACAGGCTAACTGTTTAGAAACAAGAAAGTGGCACCGTGAAAGATGGGAGGAGGAAATCTGTTGAGGCAATGTGGATGTGAAGGGCTAAAACCAGGAAACTGCAGAAGGGCTTTAAGGAGCCCATCACCCAGCAGTGGAGTGAAAAGGGCTGATGTTGATTTACTAACTCCATGATGGGAAGAAATGACTGTTTTAACTGGACAGTAAGATGGGGATTTGCATGTACAAAGGCGAGTTTTGCTTTTTTAAAATTTGATTCAAGGGAACACACCCTCCAGCTCTGAGTTAATCACTTGAACGCTTGGAGAAACCAACATACAAGAGGTCAACTGCAGTTTCAATGTTCTGTGCACGTTTGTGACGGGGCAAAGGAAAGCAGTTTTGGTAGAAGAGGCCCTTCATCTCTTGGAAGTATAACTATGAAATGTTCACATTCATTAATGAATGTCACTGTCAATATTTGTACGAGGATTAGAGTCCCAAAACAACTATTTCCCAAAACAAACTAAAAGGTTTACAGACTTCACAGTCACAAATCTCAAATGCAACTGTATGTGGTTACATAAAAAAACACCTCTATAAAATGTATACAACATAAAAATCGCAACAGTTATTTACAAGGGGAAGACAGAAAATTCCTTGCAGCCCTTCGGCCCTGTCAGACTTGTGATTAAAAGGGCAAGCAGAATATGAACAAAAACCCTGCAGTGTCAATGTGCTACAGGAATATGTGAAAATCACAACACCCTCCACCTGTTCACTTGCTGCACTGTGACATATTGAGGCAAGAAAAACATTGAGGCATTTTTATCCAATTCCAAATTCAAGCCAAACCTTAAATGACCTGTGCACATGGCTGTCTGCGGTGTTCAAACTGACTTCCGAGCACAGACCCATTCAGATATGGAAACATCCCCAGCCTCCCTCCACGGACCTCCGGTGAAAGTCTTACTCCATGAACATTAACAAAAAAAGAACGCCACCATGTCGAGCAGCCCTGCCGTTTTTCAGCGCAGCTCCTGGAAGCGCAGGGGCTGCAGAAACTGTAAGATCACCCGCGCTGGGGGGTGGGGGGTGGGGGGGGGTCGAGACTGTGGCTGTAACACAAAAGAGGAGGCCAGGATGATTGCAAGCATTTCATGGCGATTATCTGTCATTACCTTTGTAAAGGGGTGTATTTGGCCCTGTTGTGGGTTTTATCGTGTGGAATAATGGTTTGTTTTGACAGGCGATATTGCCATGTTAGCCCTCGGTGCAGAATTATCCTGTCACTGGGAGTGATGGGATATTACCTGAAGACAAAAAAAGCCGGATGGCTGTGCAGATTGTCAGCTGCAAAGAGGGCCTTTTAATCCCAGCCAA